TGATTGGTCAATGTCATGTCAATCACAAATGTAACAATCCAATCAGAGAACAGATGGGTTTGGCTGTCGGAGGGGCGCTTTTTTTGAACATTTGAACACATTTTGAGCCCATGTAGCTTAGCTTAATTCGTAGCCGACTCGCTAGCAGCATGGCCTCTTCACCTGTCCCTCCTGCACTTTCCTGCTCATCGTGTCAGATGTTTAGTTACTCCTGGGCCTCCTTTAGCAGTAATGATACTTGTAATAAATGTAGCCTATTTGCAGTTCTGGAGGCTAGGATTACTGAATTGGAGACTCAGCTTTGCACCCTTGATACACCTGTAGCTAGCCAGGCCCCTATAGGCGGTACAGCCGAAGGTAGCGTAGACCCCGCTAGTTGCCCCCGGGCAGGCCACGAGCAGCAGGGAAAAGAGGACGGCTGGGTGACGATAAGGAGGAAGCATAGTCTTAAACAGAAGCCTCAGGTACACTACCAACCTGTTCATGTGTCTAACTGTTTTTTCCTACTCCGTGACACACCTGCCGGGGATCAAACTCTGGTAATTGGCGAGTCTGTTCTGAGACGTGAAGCTAGAGACACCAGCAACCATAGTCAGTTGTCTTCCAGGGGCCAGAGCAGGCGACATTGAGGGAAATTTAAAACTCATCATACTGATCATACTTTTTATTATCTATGTCCTACCTCTAGGTAATATATTCAAGAAATATAACATCCAATTTCCCTGCTATGCAGATAACACCCAGCTCTACTTATCTTCCAAACCTACAGCTACTATCCCACCCACATCTATTTCTGATTGTTTAAGTGAAATCAAGGTCTGGTTTACTCACAACTTTCTTAAACTTAATGGCAATAAAACAGAATTTATTCTAATAGGCACCAAATCAAAACTGACTAAAGTTCCAACCAGAAGTCTTTCATTATCCATTGACCACTCTGTTGTCACACCTTCCCTTCAAGTTAAGAGTCTTGGTGTCATCCTCGACAGCACTCTTTCCTTCACAGCACATATAAATAATATCATTTTCATTTTCGTAATATTAACTGCCTTCGTCCTTCACTCTCTCCAAACAGTACCACTATTCTTTTCAATGCTCTTCTCATATGTTGTTTTGATTACTGTAATTCTATTCTCTGTGGTAAATTCATACTTCATAAATCTCTCCATAAATTGAACATACAACACCTGTTCTTAAACAGTTCCATTGGCTTCCAGTTCACCTCTGTTTCAGTTTCATGATCCTGCTTCTTACCTTCAAAGCTCTTCGTGACCTTGCTCCCCCACATATATCTAATCTTCTCCATACGTACTTAACCCCTCGTACACGCCACTCTTCTTCAACTTCCCTTCTGTCTGTTCCACCTGCTCGCTTACTTGGCACGCAGAGCCTTTGGTTGTTCTTCCCCAAGACTTTGGAATGCACTTCCACCAGATCTTCGGACTACAAACTCTCTCACCACTTTTAAATCGTGTCTTAAAACCCATCTATTCAAAATTACCTAGCCTTCATTATGATTCTGTCTTAATCTATATTTACCTCAATTAGCTTTTATACTTGCCTTTATACTTTAATGCTTGTTTTTTTCATTTACCTTGTGTTTTTATGTATTTATTTATTTTGTACTATTGTTAGACAACCTTGAGGGTCTATAATGGGGCCTATAAATAAAATGTATTATTATTATTATTAAAAAAAAAACTCACTCATGGAATAAAAAAATTCTGATGATGACAATTTTACAGTCAAAAACCATTGAAATTTGGACTGTTTTTTGTTTTTTGTTTTTTTTTAAAACATTGCCTGTTGAGATATTCACCATGAACTTTGCTAAATATGAATTACAGTTTGATGTTATGGCATATTGGGAGTGGCTAGTGTAATCTCGTGATTTGGGGTAGAACTGCAGGCTCAACCTCTGTGTGGGACTTTTGTTGTAAGATTCCCAGCTCACCACAATACATATTGCTCCATGTGCACCTGGTGTGTTGGTTGAACCAACACAACATTCATTATTCTGTTATAACCATTGGAAAACAGAATAATATTTAACAAAAATGAAACAATAGACAAAAAATTTTACTTTTTGTGAGCTTGAGGTCATCTTGAGAAGTAATACACTCAAATCTGCCAAATCTTACCTAAATCTGCCTGGATACAAAAGTAATATCTGATCAGTATTTAACTCTTTAAAGCCAGTCGGAGTGGGCATGCTCCGTTTTGCGTAACTATTTTTAAATCCCCGTAGAACCGGAACCATGTAAGCTAGCGCAATAATTTTTTTTGCATATGAAACCGGAGGAGTTGTACTTACATCTTATGCCATCAGCTTGTCCTAGGTCACGGTTTCCTTCCACATATAGCTTTGCAAAAATTGTATAAAAAGCGCTTGCAGGAACAAAAACATAATATTCCAGAAACACGCTTTGCCGATCCGATCAGCTGTTCATAACACTTCCTACATTGAAATAGACGTCAGCGCGAACTATCGCATGTCCGACATTACCTCCCCGAAACCAGAAGTGACGTCATTTTCCCTGAAAATGTAGTTTTTTACTTGTAGGCCTTAAAAGCCCATACTGATGTTTTTAAAAGTTATGTTTGACTTTATGCTTTTCTGTGTCGTTTCTGGGATGCTTAGAACTCAAATTGCACTACTTTAAATATTTTTTTTGATGCACATGCTGTTTTTTTTTTCCCAAATTTGCATTATAGGATTGTTTTTCGTTTTTTCTGCAGTATATAAAAAAATGGTGTATCTCAAAAATAAAACTATGAAGACACTCAAAATAAATTTCCTGTTGTTGTAAACTATTTTTTGTAACTTTTTTGTATTTAA